ATTGAAACAGATGAGGGAGAAAACTGGTTAAAAGGGATATGTGATCAGGTATTATTGTCATGACAGGTCCAGAATGATGGCTGCATAGTGGAGTGGACCTGGGGGGAGGTATTGTAAAACAATGATAGAATTTTTCCTTTAGTTTTCAAAGAGAAGAGTGTACTGGAGGGGGCAGGGAGAAAAGTGCAACAATGAATAAATGGAAATCCGAAGTCTCTGTAAGTTTTCATTAAAATTAATAATTTAAAAAAAACTAAAAAAAAAAAGACAGGATTAGGGTGGGATACAAGCTCCATCCTAATGGACACCTATATAAACTCGTGGATGTGCAATGCCTGTGCTCTTCTGGGATGTCCACTTTCCTGGGACACAGAATCCAGCGGTCCCACAACTGATAGTTTGCAAGATCCTGGCCCACTGCCCACCAGTCTCTGCAACACCCACCTGCATCCCCCACAGTTGTGTGAGTCAATTCCCTGATGAGTCTGAGTTTCTGTGAGACCTTGCAGAACCACAAAACCAAAGGAACATAGTGGAGTGGGGGAACTGAACAGAGGAGGAATAACTGATGCTGAAAATAATGGAATGATGGAGCAGATCAAACATTTGAGACATTGTCAACCTTCACCTTTTGGTAACTAGTCTGCTATTAATCTTAACAGAATGGATGCAGAAAAGAATAAATCAGTGAATGTTTTGCTGTATTATCGTCTCAACAACAACGAAATAAAATTTACAAAAGAAACAGAAGAAAAATTTTCCAGATTAAATCCTGGGACATTTCACCAGTTATCATTATGCCAGGGCTGGGAATTGTTTATTCTATTAAAATCAAGAACAAAATTCAGAAACCGTGTAAGTTCAAATACATAATGATTTTTTTCTTAAAAACATTTAAAATTAAAAATGACAAGCATAACCAGATGCTCCGCTGGAGAAAGAGGGGCAAAATCCTCCTGTGCCAGTCGGATCTAATTCAATGATACATCAAATTAAAATAAATAAACAATATTTTTTTAAAAGATGAGAGGCATGAAACGTGTGTGTGTGTGTGTGTGTGTGAGAGAGAGAGAGAGAGAGAGAGAAAGATATACATAGTTTTATATGCATGCAAAAGCAAGCCAACAAATAATGACTGAAGAACTGACCAAAACCCACGGTGAGACTAAAACTTTGACTGCCAAGAAGAAAAGAAAAGCAAAACCTTCACAACATATCTGGCTCATTTTTGTTTGTTTGTTTTTTCTGGAGCTGGGAAAAGCTTATCTGTAGTGAGTCTTACTTACCGAAGGCACTGAAAAGCTGGTAAAGGTCGCGGCTCTTCCACTCTTTGGGGAAGGTCACATGGAGAACGTGGTCACGCTTAGGCTGCACTACAAGACAAATTGTGGATGCAAAGTTTATGGCTCAACGTGACATTGTGGGTTGAGCAGTATCCTCCTAAAAATGTTCTATGTGGCCTAACTCTGGAACCTGTGAACGTGGCTTTATTTAGACAACAGAGTATGAACAGATGTAACCGAAGTAAGACGCTGTCGTACTAGACTAGGGTGGATTCTAATCCGGTGCTAAGGATCCTTCTAACAAGAGAGGTATCTGAAGATACAGAGATATAAAAGGGAGTGAACACTGTGTGAAGGCGAAGGTGGAGAATGGCGTGAATCATCTGCATGTCAAAGAATGCCAATGACTGCTGGCAACTGCCAGAAACTCAATGAACAGCATGGAACAAAGTCTCCTTCACAGTCTATAGAACTGAGTGAAAATAAACGTCTGTTCTCTAAAGCCACCCCTTTTGTGGACCTTGGTTACAGCATTATAGGCAACAAGTAGACTTGGATACCAAATGTGCTGTAACAAATACTGGAAAATAAACAAGTGGTTAGATTTAGGTAATGGATTGTTGTTGTTGTTGTTGTTGTTGTTGTGTACCATCAAGTCAGAACCAACCCACAGCTGACCCGCCAGTGGGTTTTCAGAGGCAGTTAATTGCACGGGAGGAGACTGAACTGCCCATCCTTCTCCCACAGAGAAGCTGGTGGTTTCACACCGTGTGCCTTCAAGATTTCAGTGCAGCGTCTTGCCACTAGGCCACCAGAGCTCCCTTTAGGTAACAGATAGAGGCTGGAATAATTTCTAGGCACACTCAGGAGGAGAAAAAATTTGAATCTCTCTGAACAGAGTTTGTTAGAAACCTGAATGTCAAACATGCTTCTTTGGAGGGCTCAGATGAAAATGAGGAGCATGGTTTGCGAAAAGTGGAAGAAAGGTGATCCTTTCTGTAAACTGCAGAGAACTTGAATGAATCTCTTTTCTATGGTTGTGTAGAAAACAGAATTTGTAAGCAATAAGTTTTGGTATTTAGCTTCCCAAGCAAGATGGGGAAGGTGCATTAGAGAGGAAACAGACAAACTGAGGAAGAAACTTTAAGCAAAAGGAACAGAATGTGAAGATCAGGAAACTTTCTGGTGTAACATTCCCAGTGTTACATACACATGAAGACATTGTGAGATGGACAAAGTCTGATTGAGAGTTTGACAAGTAGATCCTGATGAGTGGATCTACCAACCATCTGAGCAGAAGCAGAGCCAGTGTAGAATGAAGGGGCACAGACGCCACCATCCAGCACTCCAGCTCATCATGACCCCATAAGGCAGAGGAGGACCGCCACACTGGGTTTGCAAGGCGATAATTTTAAGGAAGCAGACTGCCACATCTTTCTCCTAACAACTGATTGTTTGAACCGCCAATCTTTCAATCAGCAGAAGAAGAAACACTGCATCAACAGGGCTCCTTTGAAGAGGGCAAAGAGAGACAGAATGAAGGAAGGCTGTTGAACTTGTGGGCTTCCAAAGACAGGAAATGGGTAGACAGAGCTATTTAGGTGCAAACATCTTTGTTCTTCAGAAAAGGGAAGAATCACATCAAGCCTAGTTCAGAGGCTAATGGCGCTGCCCTTGTTCAGATGGCCAGTGGGTAAGGCCATCAGTTCCTTTGTTCAAGAGAGCAAGGCTGCTTCCTCGGTTACAGAATCCCTAGGAGATTAATACAAGGATCAAGTCACCAGTGGTCCTTTGATGAAAGTGAACCCAGGGAACAAGGAGAAAACACACGATTATCTTGGAATTAACCAGCAAACTCCTAAATGTATGCTTAGGGTTGATAGGACTCTGTTCAGGCTGGTTCTAATTTTGAACTCACAAGGATTCAAACCTAAGATTTCTCATGTAATTGTTTGCTGTGCAATTTTCTTTTAAGAGCTAAAAAACAAAACAAAAAAACCTGCTCATTTAACTTGGTCTCTTTAATCCAGTTGTGTATGTTTATTAGAACATATACCTGCCATCCAAATTAAATGGATGTATTTTAAGTAGAAGCAATCCTGAGAGTCACAATTCTGCAATTTCATCTTAGACCTACAACTTCACTGTGCAGTACTGAGCAGTACTCCTCATTCCCCTGAGCCTTCCAACCCCTGGGAATAAATTAGGAACAAGCCTCAGAGTAGCACAAATGGGAAAGTGCTCAGATGCAGTCAAAACAGTGATGTGATGGTTCAAACCCACCCAGTGGTATCTCAGAGGCCAAGCCTAGAGACCTGCTTCTAAAAGGTCACATGAAAACCCTGTTGTGCTTTGTGTACACGGGGTCACCATGAGTCAAAATGGACTTGGTGGCTCTAACAACAGTAACTAAACTAGGAATGAGAATATTAAACTTACAGAATTGCTGTCAGAATGAAAGAATAAAACAAAAGTCTAGGGAGCTCTGGTGGCCTAGTGACAAGAAGCTGCACTGCCATCCCAGAAGCATGCAGTTCGAATCCACCAGATGCTCTGCTGGAGAAGGAGGGACAATCTCCTCCTGTGCCAGTCAGATCTGATTTGATGGTACATGCACAAAAATAAGTGGAGTGTAACAAGATACTTTCATACTGAATGGTTATCGTTATCATTATCAAGTAAAATCTTGCAAACTCTGCATTCCTGGCATAATGCTACCTGACCGGGCTAGTAATGGAAAGGCTGGCAGTTCAACTACAACCCCAGGCACTCCTCAGGGGAAAGATGAGAAAATCAGCTCTCATAAAGATTTATAGCCTAGGAAGCCCACGACTGTCACCCTGAGTCAGAGGGGACTTAACAGCAATGGGCTGGATTTGGTTTCTGGTCTGGTGGTGCAGTAGTAAAGTGTTTAATAGCTAACTAATAAGTCAGTGATTCAAACCCACCAGCCACTTCACAGAAGACACGGCGATTTGCTTGCACAGAGACTACACAGCCTTGAGAGTTTGTGGCGGCCATTCCACTCTATCCTCGAGGTGGTAGTTGCGGTTATGTGTTGTCGAGTCACCTGCGACTCATAGAGACCCTATTTACAACAGCCCTAAACCCTGCTCTATCCTGTGACAATCTTATTGCCTGATACACCTACGCCCATTACCCCAGTCACTGAATCAAACCATCTCATTGAGGGTCTTCCTCTCCTGCACTGTCCCTCCACCCTCCCAAGCATGACGTCCCTCTTCAAGGACTGGTCCCTCCTTGCAACATGTCCAAAGTATGTCAGGCGAAGCTTCAAAATCCTTGCCTCCAAGGAACAGCCTGGTCTCACCCTCTCCAGAATGAACCTGTTTGTTCTTCTAGCAGTCCATAGTATATGCAATACTCTTCTCCAGCACCACAGCTCAAAGGCATCAATTCTCCTTCTTTCATCCCTAGTTGTTGTCCTGCTTTCTGATGCATAGCAAGTAACTGCAAAGACTATGGCCTGGATCAGGCGCACCTTAGTCTCTAGACTGACATCCTTACTCTTCAGTACCGTGGAAAGGTCTCTGACAGCTGACTTTTCCAACGCAATTCGTCTTCTAATTTCCTGGCGGCTGGTGCCAAGAGAGTTGATTGTGGAGACAAGCAAACAAAAGCTATTAACAATCTCAATCTCTTCACCATCTATCGTGATGCTGCCAACTGGCCCAGTGGTGAGAATCTTTGTTTTCTTGATGTTGAGTAGACTCAGAATTAACTTATTCGCAATAGATTATGGGTACTCTATTTTGAGGCAACTATAGCAAGGCTTCAAAAAGAGCAAAGGAAAAAGAAAATAGGTGATGGGGACAAAGTAGAGAATGAAAATAAGAAAGTAAGAAGTAATCACCTCCTCAAAAGATGTATCTCCTACGGTTTTTATTAAAAATAAAAATCAATCTATTAAAAGAAATTAATTGGAGGACAGAAATTTTACTTTTTATTTCCTAAAATCTTTTTTTAGGTATTTGGAGAAAATTATTAAATTGGAGGTCTACATACAAATGAAAATACGTATTTTTAAAAATTAATGTATGCGGGGCAGCTCTGGTGGCTTAGTGGCAAGGAGCTGCAACTACAATCCTAGAGGCGCATGGTTCGAATCCACCAGATGCTCGGTCGGGAAAAGAGGGACAATCTCCCCCTGTACCACTCAGATCTGATTTGACGGTACACTCACACAAAAATAATAAAAAAAAAATTAATGTATGCATAAATGGGAAAACATTAAGTAAAGAGATGAGTTAATTGAGGTTTAAGAGCCACAGAAACTTAAGCATACTAGGGAGCTCTAGTGGCCTAGTGGCAAGAAGCTGAGCTGCAACCTCAAAGACACTTGGTTCAAGTCCTCCAGCTGCTCCATGGGAGAAGGATGGGCAATTTCCTCTTATGTGATTAACTGCCTCTGAAAACCCACTGGAGGGTCAGCTATAGGTAGGTTTCAACCTGATGGTCCACACAACCACCATCTATGTAGTTGTTAGATGCCATCAAGCCATCGGTAACTCTCAGAGACCCTGAGAACACCAGACGTGAACCTTGCCTTATGCTGCTCCATCCCCACCATCTCTGATATACCTGTTACAGCTCCTGTGTCAATCTAGCGTGCTGGGGGGGGGGGAGGCTCCTTCTTATTCTCTGACCCTCCACCTTTCCCACCATGATGTCCTCTTCCAAGAAATGGCCCCCTCCTGACAACGTGCCCAAAACATTTATTGTGACAAAAAAACCCCACTCTCCACTTGTAAGTCAATGAAGCTCTTTGTTAAATTTAACTTTTTCATTTACCCCTTCAGATCATATATTTGAACATGCAGATACACACACCAAAAAAATTAAGAAAAAAGAAAAGTCACTTACAAAACAATTACAAGACATCATGTCACCCCAGTAAGAATAGTAAAATTCAATAGAACAGGAAACATCAAATACTGATGAGGTTGTGGAGAAAACAGAACCCTTATTCACTGTTGGTGGAAGTGTAAAATGGTGCAACCACTATGGAAGACTGCATGGCGCCTTCTCAAAAAGTTGCAAATAGAAATACCATTTGACCCAGCAATTCCACTACTGGGAATATACCCCAAGGAGACCGTAACTGACATCCAAGCAGATATATGCACACTCATGTTCATTGCTACTTTGTTCACAATGGCAAAGCAATGGAAACAACCCAAGTGCCCATCAACAAATGAATGGATAGAGAAGCTGTGGTATATTCACAAAACAGAATATTATGCAGCACTGAAAAACAAGGTACTCATGAAATATACAAAATGGGTGACCATGGAGGACATTATGCTGAGTCAAATATCTCAGTCACAAAAGGACAAATACTGTATAATTCCACTGTTATAAAAGAGGACTGACACTGGGGTTGGGGGGAAATGAAAAAAAGAGGGGATAAATAATGTACACTGCATTGAAACAGATGAAGGAGAAAACTGATTATAGGCAATATATGATTAGGTATTATTTGTATGACAATAGCTCAGAGTAAGAGCTGCATAGTAAAGTAGACTGTGGTGGTGTGCGGGTTTGTATAACAAAGAAAGAATTTTTTTCTTTTCAAAGAGAAAAGTGAACTGGGGGAGGGGTGGGCAAGGAGGAAATTGTGCAACAATGAATGAATGAATGGAAATCCATGTTCTCTATAAACTTTCACTAAAATCTCAATTTAAAAAAAAAATGACATTAAGAAACAAACAAACAAAAAGTTACTACTTACAGTCTGGTCCTTCCAAGTTTAGATAGGGAATATCCATGACCCTCATAAGAAATAATCTATGAAAAGAAAAACAGAATGGCTGATTTGGAAGAGGGAAATACAGGTGAACATGAAAGCTTTAGCAGAAGTCCCATGATATTACTCCATTTCTAAAATCCTTTTCAATGCACTGAGGATTTCTTTAGAGGATTCTTCTGTTGGGCTAAACACTAATCACAAATTTTTTTAAAACCCTTATGGTATCTCCACCACCTATAGTAGTTCCCAGCACTCAGCAGCTGCTCAGATGCTTATTTGCCAAATGGATGAAATTAGTAATGGAAGAATCCTAAGACCATCCTGTGCAGAGGCTGTCTCACCAATAATAAGCCCAGGAAGCTGAGAAAGACAAACATTACAAAACATTAGACCCCTTATGAACAAATGTTCCTACAAACTGTAACAGGAACCCACAGGCTCAGTTCAGGGCTGGGAATGATAGTATGGGTTCCTTTTGTTTATGTGCTTGTTTTTAAAAGGAAATAAATTACTCGATGGAGGCACAGTCTGAAACAGGAGACTGTCTCAGCAGCCCACATTATCAGCATCACTTAAAACAATACATTAAAAAATATAAAACTGCTACAACTGAATAAACCACACAAATGACTCTCAGTTTCACAAAGACAAATTCTGCACAACATCACTATTGTAAAAATAGAAGGATAACTAGCTAGACACGTATGTGGGTCCCGGGGGGAAGGGGTGAGAACAGAGGTGTGATGATGGGTAGGGGCAAAATCAAAGGTTACACAATTGGTGGGTGAAGGGAGGGAGTGAAGGAAATGGAAAGGATTTGGCAGGGACGTGAAAAGACAGGGTAATGACAGGAAAGGTCCAATGGTGACTAATTTTACAAAACATAATGAATGAGAATGATTGTATGAAACACAATGTGAATGAAGAATAGTGTGAAATACAATATTTATCTAGCTAGATAGATGAACTTTCTTTTTTTTTTTTTTTTTTATAGATGAACTTTCTAAGCAAACCAATATAAATTTTTTTTAAGAGCAAAAACCAATCCTTGGAAAAGAAAACTCTCACACTGATATAAACTACATTGTTGTTGTTGTTGTGTACCATCGAGTCAGAAAGGACTGACCCTCTGGTGGGTTTTCAGAGGCAGTTAATTGAATGGGAGGAGGCTGCCCATCCTTCTCCAGTGGACAGCTGGTGGATTCAAACTGTGTGCCTCTGGGATGGCAGCGCAACTTCTTGTCACTAAGCCCCCAGAACTCCCAATAAGTCTTATTAGTCATTTTGTTATACCTTCCAAAGCAGATATGAAGGTACAAAAACATTACTTCTAAATGATAATGCTACAACACCCAGGGGCAGAGTTCTAGCTCAGAGACAAGCCTGCCTGAGGCACACCTCAGAAGACCCGTCCCAGAGAAAAACTGACCAAAGAACTATGATTTTGAATTGTAACCTGTAATACCCTAAAAAGCCCCGTCCTTGTGAATGCTGTCTGTGATTTCTGGGTGGCCACTGAAAGGAATTATCAAATAAAAATAAAAGTACAGAGTGGTATGGGATGAGCAGGTGATATCAGAACTGGCAAAAATGTTTTGGGAGGGAGGAGGCATGTCTTGACCTTGCCCTTCAGGAATCAGCCTTGGGTTTTTGGTCTTGATTCTGTGCTCCTTCCTCTCAGTGAAGCAGACGCCCCTGCCATGCCATTCTTACCATCGGTCAATCACTAAGTAAGTTGCTCAGTGAGAAGCAGGCTTATTACATTACATGACAAATTAAAAGAGGCAATACAAGTAAGTACCCAACAAGTTTCATTGACTGGCAATTAGGAGATATTATTACCGAGCCGGGCAGGGTATGATCTAGTAGTTCACAAATGGAATCGTGAGCATGACTAATGTTCTGGTAACACCAGAGAAAACCAAGTGATGGTATTCTGTGGTTTGAAAACTTGTTGTCAGGCCTACACTTTAATAAAACACACCATCCCTTGACTAAGAAAGCAAATTTCTTTTTAGTACACTAATTTAGGCTCAGTGCACTATTCTGATTGAGAGCTGCCCATCCAATTTACTCAGCAAAACAATTTACCTGCAAACCAAGAAGAAAGTACTATATGCAAAAGGAGTTCTCCCTTATCTGCATGGGGTATGTAGACTTTCAGTGGATGCCTGGTCAGGACTGAATCCTGTTATATATTTTTCTTCTCAAACATACATAACTAAGACAAAGCCTAACTTATAAATCAGGTATTGTAAGAGACTAACAAGAATAACTAATAAAAAGGTACAATTATAACAATATACTGTGATAAAGTTACATGAACGTAATCTTAAGTTTTTCTTTTTCTCTTTCCCTGTTGAGAAACTTTGACTTTTGATTGTAAAACACTAGAGACAGAAGTTTACAGTTTCTCTCTGGCATCTCTGAATTGCCAGCATCCCTAGACTTGCACTTGGGATCATTTTTAAGTAAAATAAGGGTTATATGAACACGAGAACTGTGACAATGAGAAAGCCCATCTGATAACTGAGAAGGCTACTAAGTGACTTAAAGGACATGTGTACCCAGGAAAGATGGCATCAAATTTAATTATATTATTCAGAACAGCGCTTGAATTAAAACATATGAATTGTTTATCTCAGGAATTTTCCGTTGCCCCCAATTTCAACTCCTACTGAGCTGCTCCATATATTGAGGGAGCTCTGGTGACTCAGTGGTAAGAACCTGCACTGAAATCCTAAATATGCACGGTTCGAATCCACCAGCTGCTCTGTAGGACAAGGATGGGCAATCTCCTCCCGTGAGATTACTGACTCTGAAAACCTGCTAGAGGGTCAGCTATGGAGGGGTTCTGACTCGACAATACACAACAACACGGAGCATAAACTCTCCCCACAGGCTCCAACTCGCTTTATGCCATGCTGTTTTCCAGCCACGGTTCTGGAAACATTCCTGATCTTTGTGAATGCAATGAAAACACCCCAATGCCTAGCTATCTCAAACCGGCTGGCCAAGGGCCGACAGTGTGACACACATGGATCACCTGACTTGACAGCTATCAAGAAATGTACTCTTGGCGAGCTCTGGTGGCCTAGTGGCAGGAAGCTGCACTGTAATCCCAGAGGTACACGGTTCAAATCCACCAGACGCTCTGCTGAAGAAGGAGGAACAAGTGCCTCCTGTACCAGTCAGATCCAATTTGATGGTACACAAGTTAAAAAAAAAAAAAGAGAGAGAGAGAAATGTACTCTTAAAAAAAAAATAAAAAGAAATGCACTCTTTCTGTTGCAGCGCTAGGCTAGCAAGTATGTAGATAACCACATGAAATGATGTCTTTTCGTTCTGAATGATCTTAAAGAATGATCTCTCCCAGAAGGCCTTTCATCTGCAGATGCCAGGAAAGATGTTCGCGTAAGCCTGAAACATGCGTGAAGCATTATTTCTATTTCCATGAAGAGTCACATGGTTAAGACTATGGTAAAGACACCCCAGAGACAAAACACAGTATAAAGAATGACTGTTACCATTCCATGCCATCAAATCAGAACAGACCCATAGCAGACCCACTGGTGGGCTTTCGGAGGAGTTAAACTGCACGGGAGACTGTTTCTCTTCTCCCTCAGAGCAGTTGATGGATTCAAATCAACAGAGAGATGTGGCCTTTGGACTAGCAGTGAGACTCCCCAGGGACCACGACACCAGAATTTCCCATGATCCTTTCCTCAACTTTTGACATTAGTGGTCTTGTACAACAGAATTGTCTTTTTGTGACTGGCTTAATGTGTTCTGATTTCCTCTCATTGTGTGGCATCTCACAAATTCTTTACAGTTTTTGTGTGTGTGTTATTTTAGTGATACGTAATACTCCTTTGTGCAAAGGTTTGTTTTGTTTAGCTATTCCTACATTGATGAGGACTTCGACTGTCTCAAACTTGTGTTGTGGTGGTTTTGTGACGTCAAGTTGGAATTGACCTATAATAGCTGGCCCTGCAGTGGGTTGTCAGAGGCAGTTAGTAAATCAAAGAGCTCTGGTGGCCTAGTGGTAAGAAACTGCACTGCAATCCCAAAGGCATGAGGTTCGAATCAACCAGATGCTCCGTGGGAGAAGAATGGACAATCTCCTCCTATGTGATTTACTATTTCTGAAAACCCACTGGAGGGTCAGTCATGGGACGGTTCCAATTGGATGGTATACAACGACAAGTAAATCACATGGGAGGAGACTGCACATATTTCTCCCACAGAGCAGCTGGTGGATTCAAACCAAGTACTTCTGGGTTGGCAGTGCAATACAAAACCTATACCTAGACCAAGAAGTTGTTTGTCTGAATAGATTAACAGAATACTGCATGTTTTAAAATCAGAAAAGGTATGTGTCAGAGTTGAATCATTTTCCATATCTATTCAAGCTGCATAAATGTTGAGTAAATCATTCAAGAAGCTGGCCTCTACGAAGAAGAACGTGGCATCAGATCAGAGGAAGACTCAACAGCCTGAGTTATGCAGATGACAGAACCCTGCTTGCTGAAAGTGAGGGCTTGAAATGCTTTCTGTAGAAAATCAAAGACTACATCCTTCAATACGGATTGCATCTCAACATCAAGAAGACAAAAATCCTCACCACTAGGCCAGCAGGTAGCACTATGATAGCTGGACAAAAGATTGAAATTGTCTTACTTGGATGTACAATAAACAACCTTGGTATCAGCTGTCAGGAGATCAAGAGACGTACTGCATTGGGCAAATCTGCTGTCAGGGACCTACCTCTCCAAATTACTGAGAAGCAATGATGTCAGTCTGAAGACTAAGATATACCTGATTCAGATTCTGGTCTTTTCTATCATTTGCTATGAATCTCAGAACTAGACAATGAATAAGGATGACGGACTGAATTGATGCCTTTGCACTGTGGCGGTAAAGAAGAGTTCTGATTATCCCATGGACGGCCAAAAAAGATAAACAGACATATCTTGGAGAAAGTGCAGCCAGAGTGCTCCTTGGAGGCAAAGACGACAAAGCTACGTCTCACATACTT